TATTATTAAAAAATAATTGATTAATATTTATTTATCAAAAACCAAAACTGAATCAATTTTATTGGTAACCGAACCAATCGATTTGTGAAAATTTTGGTTTGATTTCGATTCTCAAAATTAGAGAAAAATTTTTTGGTTATTTTAAAAGCGATTTTGATTTTAACCGAAACCGATTTTTGCCCACCCCTACTTGGGGCTGGAAGACAATACAAAAAGAGAAATTTAATTTCTCCAATTGAAGAAGTTGTACAAAAAGAGAACTTTTCCAAACTTTTCCAATCAGCCAAGAAAAGTTGCGGGAAAGATCGAGATAACATTTGAAGATGATTTTCTTTGATAATTTCCCTTTGGTTGGGGTTAGGGATGACAATTTTTCTTGTTCCCGTGGGGCCCTGCGAGGATCCCATCATGGGGACGGGGTTGGGAGAAATATGCCTCCCCACGAGACGGGGATGTGGACCATTCTCTCCCCACGAAATTTCACGAGAAATTTTCCCTGCCCCGTGAGGCCACACGAGGATCCCCATCTCGAAAAAAAATATATATTTTTTAAAATCAATTTATTCTTTAAACTCAAACCCAAACCCAAACCCAAATCCAATTACAATTAAACTTAACCCAATACTATCCAACCCAACCCAACCCAACCCAACTCCCAACCTAACCCATTCCCCTACATTTAACCATAACCCTAATTTATTTTAATTCTCATCACTCATGGTCTCACTCTCAATCTCTTTATCTGTGGCTCACCCATCTCTCACCTCCATCTCACCTTCTCAGTTTCCTCTACTGTTGCTGTTGCCAAAGCTTGTTGTCGAATCCATCTCCTTTGCTGCTGTTGAAGCCATTTACTCTACTGTTGCCGGATCCATCTACTCTGCTGCTGTTGAAGCCATTTACTCTACTGTTGTCGGATCCATCTACTCTGCTGCTGCTGAAGCCATCTACTCTGATGTTACCGGATCCATCTGCTCTACTGTTGCTGCTGAAGACATTTGGTCTACTATTGTTGCTGCCGAAGCCTGCTGCCGAAGCCTGCTGCCGAATCCATCTCCTCTACTACTGTCGAAGCCATCTTCTCTGCTGCTGCTGGATGCATCTACTCTACTGCTGCCGGATCCATCTGCTTTGCTACTGTTGCCGAGCCATCTGCTGTTGCTGCCAGAGCCATTTGCTGTTGTGGCAGGAGCCATTTGATATTAATTGGTGGGGAATGGGGGCAAAATTTGCTCCCCGTCAAAAATCCCCGCAAGGATCCCCATCCCCATGATTTGTGGGGACGGGGATAGGGAGGGGCTCCTCGGCCCTGTGGGACTTCGTTGACATCCCTAGTTGGGGTTTGAGTCGTTTGACAAACAGTCTCTAGCCTCCTAATTGGATACATATCAACAAGGCTGTATCACTTTTACAATATTCAAGAATAATTAGGAGTCCCATTATGAACTCTGATGTGTGGATCGTGTGATCATTGTATGGGTGTTTCACCCATCAAACCGGAGTTTAAATCCCTTTGACCCCCTTTCCCCTCCCCCTCAATTCCCAACACCCACACCACTGGAGTTCAAATCTCCTTGATCCCTTTCCCCCTACCCCCATTCCTCAATTCTCATTGTACAAAAAAAAAAAAAAAAAAGGAGTCCTATTACAATAAGAAAAAGATTTTGGGCTTTTCTAATTTGTATTTGTAAGGCATATGTTATTGCTATAATATATATATTTATTTATTTTAAGGGACATCTTGTATTAAAAGTTGGAATTTTGAATCTTAAAATAACTAAAAAGAATTTAGAAAAGGAATAACTATCTCCTATAAATCATTTTAATTAGAAAGTTGATTATATAAATGTGAACTTTTATTCACGTAATTTATTGATAATTATTCTTTTATTATATTAAAAATAAATAATACTATGTATATCATTTTTTTAAATAAAAACTATTTAATTTAACTTTATTTTAATAAAAGCATTTAGATTGATAAAAACATAACTGAATTGGTACTGCTTAGCACAAAATCATTTTTTTTTCAAAGAATGAATAATTTATTTTTTTCAATTTGGACACTTAAAAAAGTTATTTGGGTAATTTTTACGTATTTTAAATTTAATTTCTCTGCAAATAATCTTAAGGTGCACCTATATCACTTAGTTGCCATCAAAGAAATTAATTTCTTTAAGTATTAAACCTAAAACTTAAACGTTAAATCTATTTAATTTATAAAATAACATTTTTTATCAGTGAATTCTACATTTTGGATATAAAAAACTTACCTTTTAGTTGAGTGGAATAAGGAGGAGGAAAAACAATATTCTTCCATTTTTTTCCCTCTCCTAATTTTTAAATAAGATATTCAAATATTTTAAAAAAAAACATTTTTGATAAAAGAAATTAAAATAAGAAAATATGAAAATTGGAGAACAATATTAATATTAATGACCATTGAAATAAAATTGTTTAGAATATTTCAATAAAATTATAAATTATTGCCAATACATACGTGCATGACCAACATTAAGATCTTTTGGATGACATGAACATTAAGATTTACATGTTATGGCTGAGGAAAACATTTAAGGTCGCATGCATGACCAAATATACTTTCTACTTAAAAGTACTCATTATTGTACGCTAATCTATCCTGCCTAACATCAGCTTTATTTTCATCAGAATACCTGTTTCTCCTATCTGGTGTCAGAGTGATATCCCACATTTCAATTTCCATGCCTCCGAGGAAGCTTAAACAGACAAGTGAAGCAACAGGGAGCCGAAGCCAGAAAACCGGAAACAACCCCGATTGCAAAATTGAGACCGAAAATTTCCATTTTGTCATCGTCGGAACTGCCAGGCTGAGGAGGAGGGGGAGGTGGAGATGGAGTCCGTCCAACGTTGCAGGGCTTTAAGTTCGTCCCGCAGAGACCCGAGTTCCCTTCAAAGCTTGAACCCGGAAACGTCATAAACTGTCCTCCGGTGGGGATCTCCCCAGACAGTTGATTGAAAGCTACACTGAATTTGGATAAAAAGCTGAGTTGTACTAATGATTGAGGTATTTCACCGGAGAACTTGTTATATGCCAGCTCCAACGTCTCCAAGCTTTTCATTCCAGACAAGCTACCTGGAATGGTTCCGAAGAATTGGTTATGAGACAGGTCTAGAACATGTAGCTGCCTTAAATCTCCGAGACTCGGCAAGATTGGGCCGGTCAGTCTGTTGTTGCTGAGATCGAGAGTCGGTGGTAGACTGTCAATTGCAATATACTGCAGCCCTGAAACATTCTGTCTCGTTTTGACCAGAGGAAACTCGGGAACTAATCTCTCCACTGAGACATTGTTGTAAATTAGGCTCTGCAGTTTAGTTAAAGTCTCCGAAATTTCTCCGGTGAAGGAATTGTTAGACAAATCCAAGTAAAA